GCACTGTATTATCATCAGATCTTGACATCAGATCACTCCATGAGCCACGGAAAGTTCCACTTCCCCTCAGTGCCCTTAGCTGTGCAGAGGGGAGCACTGTACCCATTTTATTTTCAGGATTAAATTAGACAGTGGGGGAGCAGGTCGTGGAGTGATCTGACACATTGTGAATCATCAGAAGTGTCTTGTCGGGCCTTGCACCCATGTGGTTTCTCTCAGACCCTACGGTATGCAAGTGGTAAGTGCCCAAGTCTCTGATCTTGTGGCGAAGAGCCCCTGGTTTAGATTATTCCCCTTTAAGGTTCCTCATGTTGGTTTCCTTGCATATGCTGGGACACAAATGAGGTAGATTGCTTGCTTATTACTGAGCTCTGGGGATTTAAAGACTTTAGCACTGGGGACTAGAGAGATAATTCCCAGGTTAAGGTGCTTGCCTGGCATGTGGCTGATCTGAATTGAATCCTCAGCACCCCGTAGAGTTCCCTCAGCACCACCAGGAATGATTCCTGAGCACAGAACCAGGGGTAAGCCCTGATCATCTCTGGGTGTAACCAAACAAAGCAAATATCAGAGTTTGACCTGGCTTTCTCTTTTCCCCTCTTGCCAGAAGATCCAGCCATCAAAGCTAATAGGTTTAAAATCTTTAGGTTTAAGAGGGCAGGGAGGGGATATCATGGAGAAGCCGCTAAGGAAGACTTCATCTCTGATCACTCCTACTCTTTCTCCACCCCTGGGTGTGGTCTGGTGGCCAGACTTGTAGTTTCTTCCCTTCAAGTCTATCAGTTCCCAGATGTGCCCCAGAAGGACTTGGGCCTAACATATTTACCTCCAGGTTTTCTCCCTTTATGTAATTGCCTGTTCTGCCTCTAAGAAATAAAGGTGGTATTTCTGATGCATAATTTATCTCCTGTAGGCCGATGTGGTTGTGAACAGCAAGAACAAATCTCATTAAGAGCTGCTAAGAGAAATGAAATTACTCATTTTGATAGAAGTTAATAGAAGTGTGCTTAATTCATGTTTACACCTTCTCGGCTGCCCTTGGCATGTATTTAGCATTTTTTCTGGGAGAAATTAGGATGGAGGCCTCAGCGGTAACTTGTCGTGCTTCTCCTGACAAGCACGTCATGTGGAGCAGAAACAAGGGCTCTGCTGGGCATTCTCCCCCCACCATCCCCTGAGCACCAAGAACTCCAAGAATAAGCCAGTAAATGGAATATAGTCAATTTTCACAAAGCCTTCACCTTGCACTGAAAAATTTTGCAAATTTTTTAAACCAACAACAAAGAAACTAAAAATAGCAGTGATTTTATTTATTAACAATTAACCATTTACTAATTAACCATTAACCATCTCAGTCTGGTTACTGGATGGTGTCCTTCTTTTATGCATCAAATATTTTCTTTTAAGAAACATAGTAACAAAGATGTGTGTGTGTGGGGGGGGTTTCCTTTTGATCAAGTGTGCCTTAGCTTCTTGCCTCTCTGTGGATTGAAGTGTGTGGACTGGCACAGGCCTTTATTCTTCAGGACCTCCTGGTCTAGAGTCTGATCCTAGTTCTTCAATTAATCATTTTTTCTACCCCCTTTCCTAGAGGGGACACTTTGGGTTATAACCAGCGCCCAGCTCTGTGCTTAGAGGATGCTTCTGGCTGTGCTTGGGGACCACATAGTGGTGGAATTAGCCCAGGCCTCTCATATGCAGAATATGTACTCCAGCACTTTGAATCCTGGGTTTTCGGTGTTCAAGTTTGATGAAGATTTAGAGAGTTGGGCTTTTATACCTAGCAGAGGAAATGTCTGTACTGAAACGGGACATTCACAGTAGGAGCATAAGGGGAAACTGAAATTATTGCAACAAGTCAAAAACAGTGCCAAGAGCTTTGTACAACAACATGTATTTAATCATAAAAACTGTGTATTTTGAAGAAATGATGAATTTACCTTCTGTGAGATGGATCTATATTTGTAGACTGACTCGTCTTCAAACAAGGAGCAGTATGTGTTATTTAGCAAGTGGGACTTAAAAAATAAAGATTTATTAGCTTTTCTGTTCTTCAGAAGAATAAGTTGCCTATGTATCGTTAGTTACTTTATCATGAATAACATGCCATGTCATCTTGGTGCTTATTAATCACCCTTTCCTTCCAGCCTACTGTAGGAATAATTAGATGAAATTGGTGGCAGACCACTGCTTCCACATTAATCTTCTTAAGTTGTTGTCAGTGAAACATTCAAATATTAGCCCACGTGTGTTTCTAAGGAAAGTTAGAAATATTTTAGGCATCAGTATTTGGGAAGCAAGCTCCTTGTGAAGCAAAGATATGGGTAGGAAGGCTCATGTAGTCAAATGGCATTTCCTCCACAGGGTAGAAACTCACTGATTGCCTGGTTTCAGGGGAGGCTTCATGAAAATGTTGGAGGTCAAGTACTATCAAGGGGGGCTGCTGACTGTTCTGTATATCCTCATCATGAAAACTTACTATTGGGGTGTCTGTTTTCTGTTCCCCATGCCAGAGGGAAAAATAAAATGGAGCAGCCCTCACTGGTCCTTCCAATCCTGTTCTATGTTAATTGGCCCAAATAAGTCTCACACCCATCTTCTATTGTCAGTGGGTAAGAAGATCCAACCCACTACATTCCTCAGAGAAAGAACTGGGTACTTTTTATACATGCATGAGGACTAACCCAAAGCAAAGAATGTAAGTCAATTAAAATGGATAGCTGGTTCTTAAAAAAGAGTGATAAAGTGGAGAAAGCTTTGAGTTTGCTCAAGAAAGAACGCAGTGTGAAAGCTAATGTAAATAGCTTCAGATAAAGGCTTGTGAAGGTAGCAGAATGCTCTGTACGTATTTTATTACAGTATGTTTGAAAAGTCGGACATTGTAGCTATGTTCTAGAATAATATAAATGTAAAAAACTTAAATTGAGTCACAGTGATGATACATGACTCAAGATATTTTCTAAAAAGTTTAGAGATCTACTGGTAGTGTAATACCAAACCCAGGTATTATCATCAGTAAAGTTTATCAAACCTTCCAGAAACGTTTTATGTACCACAAATGTTTGTGGGATACAAGGAAGGACTTCAGTAAAAAATATTTTTTAGGATTAATACATCATGAAATGAATTTTAAAACCAGACGAGACTGTCACTCATCATTTCATAACTTCTAAGAATTAATATTGCTACAATCCTAAAACAAATATCCGAACTTGTTATCCTATGAGAAGAACAACTGTGTTGTCTCTCCTTCAAATTTGTCACCATGTAGAGAGGATAAGTCTTCCTCTGCAGTACTCCTAATCCACCCAGTGCTATACTGCCTTTCCCCAGCATGTCTCCTTACAGCACATTCTACAACTATGTTGTCTCTCTGTTTTCTTCCTCTCCTCTACAAGGCAAACCCCACAAAGGCAAGGCTGTTTGTTTTGTTCACTGATAAAAGCAAAGTACCTAGAACTGTGGGTAATGAGTAAGTCTTGAGGCAGAAAAAAAAAGAATTCTAGAGACAATATGGGCTCTTGGATTGGATTATTGGACAGAAAGATATTTCTGTAAAAAATGAAAATTGAAGTCAGTGCTTAGTATTGTACCAGTTCAGTATTGGGGAGAGTTGGGGGACATGTATGTGGAAATTTCTGTTTACAATCTTAGTAATGCTTCTGCCAATCTAAAAATTATTTCAGAAAAAAAATCTCATCGAATTCAAAGATGTCTAAGGTACTTACACATTTAAAGGATAGAACAAAATTCCAGCTCAGGTGACACTTTACAGTATGACCCTGTCTCACCATATGATTTGAAATTGGTGTGCCCCTCCCTTGTAGGTCTCCTGCCCCCATAAATTTTCAAGATTTTATCTTGCAAATTTCATTTTTTCCACAGCACTGGCTGCATTCTAATTCATTTTACATATTTTTAATGCTGCAGAGTTGTCTCTTATGCCTGCTTGTCTTCAAGAGGACATGGAACCATGTTTTCACTCGTGTAACTCAAGTGCTTAGAACAATGCCTGGCACATAATAGCTGTATCTATTTGTCAAGAAATTGATAAATTGATATCATTTATGTTTTAAAATGTGGCAGAGAGAAACAGTCTACCAACCTGTCACACTTTAGTGGAAACTGGTGATTAATATGGTTTGAGGGGCCAGAACCAACACGAAGCAAGCTGGACACCTAGAAACTCACAATATGAACACTTGTGTTGGCCCAGATGTGAGGGTGGGTGCTAGCTTTCTGTGCCCTCTGTATCTGATTGGCTTAACCTAGTCCAAGAGCTTCAATATTCTTCATATTTCCTTTACTTTGGGGGACCCACACCTGGTAGTACTTGAGGTGGTGCCAGAGATGGGTCCCTGCATACAGAGCTTGTGCTCCAGCCCTTTGAGCTCTCTCCCTGACCCCTCTCCTTATTTTCATATCTGAAATGTCATAATTTTGAGTATACCATGTTTATTTTTCTAAAAATTTTGAGGAAATTTAACAAAAATAAAGCAAACTATTAAATTGAGATCCTTAGAACACTACATAGAAATGATCTCTTGTCTCTTTAAAATGGGGAGTTATGAGAAAAGGATTATTCATTTTTCCTATTCTCCTTGGAATCAGAATTACTCCTGCCTTTTTTTCCCTGAAGTAAAATGTTGAAGAAAGCAAAATTCACTTTTTAAGATCTCGAACATAGTTTATTAAACTGAAGCAGTGAAGCAGTGAGTCATATCCACCCATCAAGGTACTAGAGTAAAGTAGGGAAATATTAGTGCCAGTTTAATCTTGAAGCTGCAAGAATATTTAAGTCGGTTTGTCTTTTTTTGTCATGTCAGTATCACTTTCAAGTGTGGCCTCTGGGAAGTACCTCCACACAAAAAGATCTGTTTCATTAAAATGTGAAAAGATAACCAAGAAACTGGGAGCAAGAATAAAGAGATGAGGTCATTTGTCTTTATTCTGAGGTAATTGTATTTGTTTTATTGTGATGAAATTTATGTCTATTGCAGGCACATCGGGAGAACATTCTGGGTAATACCATGCAAAGTGTGATTGCATTGCTTAATAATTTGGTTGCCTGCAAAAATACGAATATGAAGCTACTTTATGAACAAGGTAAATGGTTCTTTAAGTCTTTGCTTCTATTGAGTTTTTCCTATTTAAGTTTGCTCGTATAACATAGTAGTGAGTCAGGAAGTGATATTTAAAGTAGATTGTTTATCCTGGTATTTAAGGATTTATTAATATTGCAAGCAAAAATGGATAGTATGCTCATGGTAGTTTAGGTGCATTCAATTCTCTTTAATGGCATAAAGTTAATGACTATGCTTAAAGACAATAAACCAACAACTGAAATGTTAATATTTAGATTTGTGTCTGCTAATAAAAATAATATATATGGTCAACAATGTCTCAGAAAATGAAATCAGGATAGATTGACAATGACTTTTCATTTTATGTGATATTTACAGTGTTACAATTTTGAACAACTTGTAAGACTATTTGAACACTGAGGCTTAACACAAAACTGATAGGAAGACACAATAGATTTTCCATATAACCTGTCCCCTTATCCATTTCCTCCACTGCCATTATCAACTTCTCTCATAATAGGAGTACTTTTTAAAAACCAGAGATAAATGTGTATTGACAAATGACATCACCCAAACTCCATCATTTCCCTGATGGTGGATTTTTTTTTTTATTTTACATTTTGTATTTTACATTCTGTACGTCTGGGTAAATGTGTAATGATATGTATTCATTAAAGTTTCTTCATTTCAGAATTCAGTTTCATCACAGAATTACTGATCTAATTTTCTTATCTTTCATTGGACTTATGTAATACTACTGTATTATTTGTGCTGAAGTGATAGCATAGTGGGTAGGGCATTTGTCTTACATGCGGCAAACCCGGGTTTGATTTCTCCGCCCCTTTTGGAGAGCCCGGCAAGCTACCGAGAGTATTCCGCCCACACAGCAAAGCCTGGCAAGCTACCCATGACATATTCGATATGCCAAAAACAGTAGCAACAAATCTCACAATGGAGACGTTACTGGTGCCCACTCGAGAAAATCACTGAACAACGGGAGGATAGTACTACTTTATTATTTACTAGTACATAGTAAATTACTACATAATTGTTCCCTATCAGATTGGCATCTATCATTTAGTAATACACATTTTTTACTTGCTTGATTTAATATAATTATATAGAAATTATGTCATTTCTATATAGCTATTAAGTTTTCAGTAAGGATCAGAGAGATTTTTAGTGGGTAGGGCACTAGGTGAACCAGGCTTTTTAGTGGGTAGGGTAATAGGTGACCCAGGTCTAGTTCCCAGCACTACATAAAGTTCTCTGATCCCTACCAGGAGTGATCCTTCAGCATAAAACCTGGAGTAAGCCCTGAGCACTGCTGGGTGTGGCACACAAACAAACAAAAATGCTAAATATTTTATTGTCTACATGTACCAATTCATTTATCCATTTACCCATTGAAAGAGATCTTGATGACTTTCATATTTGGTGATTATCACTTCACATATAAAACATCCAGATGTAGATTTTTACATGAATATCAATACTAAAGACTAAATTAACTAATTGTATGCTAATTTTTGTTAGAAATGACCCTATTTTAATTAGTGATAAATGAAATCCATGAGAATTTATCACCAGCAGACCTACCACACATGTAAATTAAGTTTTATAGGCAAAAGAAAGTTATGTGGGTGAAAATTCAGACTCAGATCTGTATAATGAAATAAAATAGACAGGGTAGATTAACATGTGCTTAACTATAAAAGAATATTTGTTCCTTCTGACATTTGTTAAAACTGATGAGGCATATTAGTATATCCATAAACTTTTGCAGTATTCCAAAAGTAAGAAAACATTTGGCAATGAGACTTGTGAACTCCAGAAATTACTAAATTAGTAAAATCTTTGAACAACATAGTGTTTTTTCACAAAAAACCCTGAATCTCAGTAAAAATGCTTTCCAACTGATAAATAGAAATGTGAACTGCCTAACTGTTACACACACACCTCATCACCCTCCCTCCTCACTTCCACACTCTGTTGACAAACAGTGGGCTGAAGACATTTATTTAAGTCATTAAGCAACTCTGTGGCTAGTTGATTGTCTGTTGGACTAAATGAATAGTGAACACACTTATGTGACCAGATGCTATCAGAAATACAAACTTATAGATTTAGCATAATGTAGTCACTAACAGCAAAACAGCAAGAACTGATAACCTTAGCAGATAAGTATAGTGCTTCTGGTTTTCAATGTCCACACATATTTCAGACATGCAGCTTTCAATAAACCATTATAAACATGCCAAAAACCCAGTTGAATACTTGGCCATATATTGGGAAAATGCAGACTGCAGAAACTTTCAGAGGAGACCCATGCATTTGTTTTATTAAATATTTTAAATTAGCAATTACAAATACATGGAAAAATACAGGAAAGCATGTCTAAATAATTTTAGAATAATGTAAAAATGCTATTACACTGGAGTAATACATCAACATAAAAGTATAAGAAAGTATAAGAAAATCCAAAGGAAAATTTGAAGTAAAAACAAAATAAAATGGAAAAAAAATCACTTGAAGGGCTAAAGCGATAGCACAGCGGTAGGGCGTTTGCCTTACAAGCGGCCAACATGGCCAACTGAGTTCGATTCCTTCACCCCTTTTGGAGAGCCCGGCAAGCTACCGAGAGTATCTCACCCGCATGGCAGAGTCTGGCAAGCTACCCGTGACATATTCGATATGCCAAACACAGTAACAACAAGTCTCATGATGGAGACGTTACTGGGCCTGCTCGAGCAAATCGATCAACAACGGGAGGACTGTGACTGTGAATATGGAAAAAAAATCACTTGAGGGCTTTTATTTGAAATAAAAGAAAAAGAATCATCCGAAGAAAGATCATTGTTTCCCACAATACGGACATAGGATTATAAGAGAAAACTGTGGAGAGCTATATTACAATAAATTTCATAGATTCAAGCTGTAGAAAGATAAGCCATTAAAGCTATTAAATACATTCAAACAACTTAAGTATCCAAATCATTGTTCTTTCCACCAGCTTTAACCATATTTGTAGCTGAGAAGATTTCTCTGGTTCTTATCGATTAATGCATAGGAGTCTCAAACCTTGTCATTCTGATTAAGAATTTTTCCTTCCTGTTTTGTTTTTGTTTTTGTTTTGCAGGCCACATCTGGCAGTGTGGCTTATTCCTGGCTCTGTGCTCAGAGTTCACTCCTAGCAAAACTCATGAATCCCTCTCAAAACATTTTTCTCTGACTTGACTTGAGAATAAGGATACTTTAGAATAAAGGCATAGAAGATTCTGAAGATTCTTTTTTTTTCTTTTTTTTTTTTTATGTAGGAGTACTGCTATTTATTCAGCCACTGATTGGGCTGACTGAATTGGGCATGAACTCCACTGCAGATTCTTATTGGTTAATTGAGAGAGTTTTAAGGAGTAAGATGCATGGAACTGAGATTAAAGACTAACCATGTAATCATGGAAAAGGACTATATTTGAGGGGAGGATGAAGGACAAAGTCCTATAGCAGGAGCCTGAGGAATTAGGAGGTCAGGCATGGAAAGACTGCCTATGAGGTGATCGAAGTGACTAGTGAAATTAATCGTTCAACAGTGTTCAATAGGTGCAGTATCAAAAGAAGTACATGTGGATTTTCTATAAAGTTTAAATGTCAAGGTCCCATTTATACAGAAGTTTTATGTTCAATTACTATTTTTTTTAATGCATCCTCATATCCCCCAACTTCATAAGCTTTAGTTCTCAGAGTAGTTAGCTTCATTTCTGATTTTGAGGAGTGAAGTAGACATCTCAAATAATTATGGCAAGCATACTTGTAGGGAGTCCCACTAAGCTCAGAGAATGATAGGGAGTGAGTTAATGGTCTGAGGTTGTTGTAATTGGAGGAGCGGAAGTAGGTAGTACAGTCTGTTCTGAGGTTGAGTAAACTATACTTTGCCTGCAGGCTTCTTGCTTTTACAGATGTTCATTCGAAAGTAGATATGGCCATTATGGGGTTTGGCTGCAGCAGACAAAATTCTAAGACAGGTTTCAGATAGAACCAGAAGTTAGTGAATACATAGAGGCAAGAGTTTGACAATATGAAGAATTTTGCCTTGAGCTCCAAATGTGCAGTGGAAGGGATTCAGAGAGTTCTGTGGGTAGGATGAGACTCTGTGAGCAGATGTGCAACTCTTCTGATGGCCAAGGAATCCTAGTTTCCCTGTATGTACTTAAGTTAAAACTTAAAGTTCTGTCCCTATGGTGTGAAATGATATCTCATTGTGGTTTTGATCTCCTTCACTGCTGGTGGGAATGCTGACTGGTTCAGCCCTTTTGGAAAACAGTATGGACAATTCTCAAAAATTTAGAAATTGAACTCCCATTTGACCCAGAAATACCACTCCTGGGACCCAGAGAAGGAAAAAAGTATAGTCGAAGTGACATCTGCACTTGTTTGTTCATTGCAGCACTCTTTACAATAGCCAGAATCTGGAAAAAACCTGAGTGCCTGAGAACAGATGACTGGTTAAAGAAACTTTGGTACATTTACACAATGGAGTACTATGTAGCTGTTAGAAAAGATGAAATCATGAAATTTACATACAAGTGGTACTATATGGAAAGTATCATGTCAAGCGTAATGAGTCAGAAAAATAGGGATAGACATAGAAATATTGCATTCATCTGGGGAACATAAAGTAACAAAATAGGAGACTAACACCCAAGAGTGGCTGAGATTAGTACCAGGAGGTTTGTTCCATGGCTTGGAGGTCAGCCACACATGCTTAGGGGAAAGGGAGCTCAGATAGAGAGGGAGCACCAAATTAAGGGTGTTGGGAGAATCCTCCCAGGATGGGAGAAGCATGCTGAAAGTGGACTATAGACCAAACATGATTGCCACTCAATGCCTCTTTTGCAAACCACAACACCCAAAAGGAGAGAAAGAACAGAGGGGAATGCCCTGCCACAGAGGCAGGGTGGGATGGATAGGATGGCGGTGGGAGGGATGCTGGGATCCGTGGTGGTGGGAAATGGGCACTGGTGG